AATAAAATCGCTCCAATCCCTCCATCAAAACCAGCACCAGGCTCGAGTCAGGCAAGAGTGTCATGAGTCATGTTCAAAAAACAATCATTTCAGTCCCTCTTGCTTGCATTTCGTAGGATTATTTTCGATGCCTAATTCGTACCAAGTGAGATTATGTCTGAGGATTAATATTACAATATTATTAGAACTTGTTTGCCTGAAGAATTACTCAATGACCTGTTGTTTGCGAGCAAAACTTACATCAATGCCAGGAACAGGCCTGATTTTGAAAACGACAAAGCCGTCACAAACCCTCTACTTCGGCTTGTAACTTGGAAACTGCGGTTGCAACGGTTGCAACCCACATATCCCACATATAGCCTTTCCTTGGTCTGCGGCCCCCAAGCGGCACCCTCGTCGTGACCACAGGCAACAGATACCACCCAGATCCACCAAGGATTTGGTCGTGCCTCAAACATCGACCGAGGCCCCTTCTGCTGTTTCGTTTAAGCCTTCCGAATTCTCCAAAGTGCCCGCAAAGTGACCGTGCCATGGCTATCCATTTTACTATATTTTGCCTCAAAGATGACCTTAAAATCGGAAGACATTGCAGATCATTGCAGTATATGTACTTCATGTAAAGCATTTAGAGAAGGGCCTCGTCTGATACCACTCCGATCTGAGACAAGGCACAAGGATCAAGGGTTTTCGCGTAAAGACATGCTTGATCTTGTCATAATCATTCGCGATTTACCAAGAATGCTGGCAAAGCAAGCCTAGGCAGCACAGCTTCGTGTAGTGCAAAAGAATCTTCCTTTGGGGAAAGAAGATCTAAACCAAAGCCCAGAAGATGGCAATGCAAAGAAGTAAGCAAATGCCAGCGAAAGCCAGTAAACGCATCGGTTCAACAGATTCAGGGAGCCACACACATGTTTCCCCCCAGCTTCCATATCAAAGAAACATTGAAGTAACTGTCCAAATGAGATACGCTTGAATCAAAGTTTCGGTTGATGCCGGCCATGGAGGCTGTAGATTAAGTAAAGTACAACAAAAAGATACAACAGGTACGACAAACCAATATCGACTTGACTTTGTGCGAACGCCAAGCAGCGACTGTGGAGGCTTCGCCTGATGTAAGTGGTCAATCAACGCCCAAAGTCCTGGCCGGAAACGTCACTGGCCGCCACTGGCCCCTTCTTTGTGGCAGTCAACGTCCCCATTTTGACGCCGTGCTCGTAGAAAATTTGATCTAGGGGTGAAATGGGTCACTTCATGTCACGTCCATTCTCCTGGTCATGAGAAAGCCTCTGCACGCCACATTGTGTCCAAGTGGAAGAACGTCCTGCGCAGTTGCAGTCTCAACACCTCCCCAACCATCATCGAATTCAGGGCATTTCAAGCTGCACATGCATGTCATGCATCGTCATGCGTCTCATCGCATATCATTAATGACTTCCCAACAAAACCAGCCCCTGGGCGCGGCCACAGAGTCCTCCATTTGTTGAAGAAAATGCACCCATGCAAAGGGTGGGTTATAAAAGAAGCCAGCTTTCTATAGCAAACGTCCTATACCCATTGCTGCCCAGAGCAAGCCAGTTTTCTGCTGTACAAAGATGCAAAGTGTTCTAGTTGCTGCAGCCATGCCAAGGCAGTTGGATGTGGAAGAAATGCCCAAAGCATTCCATTCAGATTCCTGGATGTTTGCTCATGAACTCAAAGGTCTTGCATATCTTGCAACTACTTGGCGCATTTGTTCGGAGGTGTTGCTTCCGCGCCAAGTGAGCCTGCATGATAATCCATGTGTTCCACACCAAAAAGGCTCGGCACTGGGCTGACATTGCAGCCATGTGAAGTCTGCAAATGCAGCCACCACTGCAACAACACTGCTGCGTGCTTCCGTCTCTGTCAATCATAGAGCGGTGTCAAATTCGGCCAAGGACGGCTATGTTAGTGAGAAACCATGAGAAGCCTCTAAGGTTGTAGGGGTGAAATTGAAATGCAATGGAATCCATACAGTAGCATATCATAGCATATCTACTCTGCTGTCATTCTTGGGTTCTTTTCTCCGGGAAGAAAATAGCTAGGACTCAGTAGTTGTTTTTGTTTTTTAGAGGACAAATAGCAACCAAAACAAAACAGTTTTTTCGAAGGTCCTTGCTTCTGGGAGCGGCAAAACGATAGCAAAACAATCCTCGCAGTGACTTACTAGAATTGACTTCAAATGGACAGCCTTAGCATCATGCTCTTCAAACTCCAGAGGCGGCAGCTGCGCAGAAACACATGGGCTAGAGCTAGATTACAGTAAAGTTTCTATTGTCCGCTGCCCGCCATTCTGGCCTAGCTAATTGATGTGGAAGAAATGCCCAAAGCATTTCATTCAGATTCCTGGATGTTTGCTTATGAACTCAAAGGTCTTGCATATCTTGCAAGTACTTTGCGCATTTGTTCGGAGGTATTGCTTCCGCGCCAAGTGAGCCCGCATGATAATCATGATAATCCATGTGTTCCACACCAAAAAGCCTCGGCACTGGGCTGACATTGCGGCTGAAAGAATCAGCTATTCTGCAGACTTTGGCGATTGGCGATCGATGCAAGGCTGTTTTCTAGTTTGGCGTGAGCGGCTCTGCGCACAGCCCAGCCTGTGGAAGCCTTCCTCAATCAGAAGAGGTGACAACTGTTGAACAGCTGAAGAAAGCATCGCCGCGCCATTTCACCACCCCACCCACCGAGCAATTAGACCCAAAAAAACCTGGAACCGTAAATGATTTTGGGGAGAAGAGATCATTCCACCGCATGCCTACAAGGATACAATTGCCCTGCATATACCATACAGCACTCAATCCGTACAGGACTTAATCAAGCTTAAAGTGGCTTGAAAGAGAAATCTGTGGGAGTTGTGGATCTTCCAAAACCACATCTGCAATTTGCTTATCTCACAGGAGTAACTATGATCATGTAAGGTTTTCCTTAAGACAGTGTTTCAAATGACGACCCAGCAGCCATTTAGCTGCCAACAGGTCACTTGAGTCCAGCTGTCCGCCCTTTGGCTCCTTTGGCTCAAAGGACACATGGTGTAGGGACCAGCGTAGGACACGCACCAGGTGTGCTGAACGCATCTGAACGCAATCACAGTATCGCAAAGGAACTCGCACGCAAAGTGCATGACTGCCCTGTGTGGTCTGCGCAGCACCCATTGCAACAATACTGCTGCATGATTCCAGCTTTGTCAGTCACTGAAAAACTCATATTCAAGCAAGGACCTGTAGTTGTCATTGTCAATTGCAAAACTGCGGTATTTCAGAAATTGAACTTCCCTCAATATAGGGCTGTATCTCACGTTCACACTGCAGTGATGCTTTGGGTCTGGGGGCGACTCTCCATGAAGGGCATCAAGTTTTCTTGCCAATGACCCAGTTCGCCCTCAATACACTCAGCATCTTTTGGTTGAAACAGCCCACTATTTAGGACCCAATCATGTATATACCGTATATACGTATGTTGAATTTTCAACTTGATACTTGAAAGAATCGGAAGGTTTTAGGTTGTGTAAACGAAGTCTCATAATCATCACTAATATCACTATAGTATCGCAGTATGTGCAATGTCAAGTAAACACGGGTTCGGCAACTTGCTGATGGTAGAACTCGATCACTAGGAACATTGTTTCAGGAAAAACAACCTGGATACATCATGATACATCCTGGTTTCATGACATACCCTTCTTTGAACTTTGGTGGCTTCTGAGAAACACAGGCATCTCATGCACTTCTGACTGGCTCAAAAGTGCGAAACCACTTCCAGCCCTTCCGGGTGAGCCAAAGTGATGTGGAGGAAACATCTCGATCCTTTAGGTCAAGCCAATCTCCAAATGCAAACATTAGACTGAAGTTGTGCACATGATAATCCCTGCGCCAGAAAGGCCTTTGTGGAGGGCTCAAGCAGCAGAATTGGCAACTCGAAACATGGTCGGCGATTCTGCTCTGACCCATCTGGCTCTGCGGCCAATGTGTCTTTTCTGACACGGAAACACTTCAAGCGTTTGCCTGACAAAGCATTTGCTTGACAAAGCATGCAGCATAGTTTTTCGCAGAGAATTCCAATTAATCAAGTACCAAATAGAAATTGGTAGCATCAATCAAAGCAAGCTAGAAAAGCTATTCGCATCTCTCATCACACCAACAAGGAACCATGAACAGGGAAGATTCACCCTGGAAACTTGTCTGCTGTGTTGCAGGGGCTTCAAATGAAATAACCACTGCGTCACTTGAGTCACTTGCACACATTCTGTACATGACTGTACATGCATAATCAATCGTAATCATACTTCTGCTTCACACAACTCCTAAGCAGAGCTTGTCGCATCACCTCTTTGCCCATGCTAGCCGCTAGAACAAGGGACTTCCATGGACTTCCATGACTTGCTCGTCGCCCTTTTTTAGCTTGTGAGCAGGGGTGGCGGTCAAGCTACCATTCGGATCCACTCTGAGATTCTGAACGGCTTAGTCTGCAGGTCGGAGTCACGGATCCTGTTTTTTTTTAGAAAAGAAACTGCAAGTTGCGGGTCCAAGGATTTTTCAACAGCTTTTCTTGTTCGAAAAATCATTTTTGGGCGCCAGAAATCTTTGATCTTCTGTGTGATGAAAAGGATTGAAAAGGAATGAAAGGGAAGCGTCAGAAAAAGAAACATAACCACTTTGCCTTTGAACTTCAACCAGCATTGTGTTTCAATCAGCAGTTCTGCCCTTGCACAAATCAAGGACTGCACAAATCTTCACAACAGCCCTATCGTCCAAATACTCCCTGAGACCGCAATTGCTCCTCCCGCAGGCAAACATTATCGGTAAATATGCACAATGTCCATCAGCGCCAGCGCCAAGACACTTTTTGGGGGCATGGCTCAAAAAGTCTAAACCCAATTTTGGGATGCTGAAAATGAATGAAAATGAGCTGTGGGACTCTTGCAAATTTTAAAGATAAGACTTGAGCCAATCCCAGGTGAAACCATGGTGAAACTGGGGCCTTCATGGTCCAGGCATCCCAGGAAGGACACTGGCAAACTGTGCCTCATTTGGATCACGAACCGAACGAACCGGACGAAGCGGTGGATGTCCGTCACCTTCCTGGCACCGCAGGTGCGACACAGGCGCCACCCTTTCTCCAGGTCACGGTTTTTCCGAGGGAAATCCACGGGGAATGCAGAATTTTGAATGACTTCGAACGAAATTCCCAAGCAGTGGGAAAGTTGAAATGCAAATGCATGTTTGTTGTGAATGCCTAATTTCAATGGCCGAAGGAAGTTTAGAAGTCAAATCTCCGACTTACGGACAGATGCAACAACAGTGGTGAGAAGAGTCAGCTAAAAGAAAGAGTCAAAAGAGAAGGAGTCAAAGAAGAGCGCGTCAGTAGAAAGAAGATCAAGGCGCGTGAAAAAGCTGAAAAATTGCGCAACTCCGCGTTTTTCCAATGTCTTGGGGTTGGAGGGTCGAAAAGTAGGTTCGCTAAGCGGCGGTTGGGGAGCCATTTGGCTGGATGAGAAATCCAAACGCGCGAAGCACATTTCGAAGTCCAAAAATTAAAAGCACTTCACCTTCGGAGCACTTTTGGCAGTTGAAATGTTCATTAAGTGCGCGTGGCTATGGCGGGAAGATCCCCTCAACTACTTAAAATAGACCTCGAAACCCATGGGTCTAAAACAATGTTTTTTTTCAACCTTCAGAAACGGCACTGGTTGGCCAGCAAGGAATGTTGAAATCAGTTGTCAGCCGGACATTCATGGTTTCCCTTAGCCACCCGTACCTTTATTCTCATGACCCTAGACCCCCCCCTGGGTACTGAATTTGGGGGGTCTAGGGTCATTAAGAAGATAGCCAAAAAAAAGGGACAAGTACGGGTAGAATTAAAATAGACCTCTTCCAAAAAACGGACCCAGAAAGATTGTAGACCCCACTTTTTTTGATAAAACAATTTTTCCTTCCAAATCATGTCCGACCCCTATTTGGGTCAACCAATCTTAGACCCCCAAGGTGGAAATTCCCAAAAATGACCGATCATTGATTTAACGTGAATCCATTTAAGACCCCTGCCACGGGTCAAACCAATTTCAGACCTCACCCGCAACAGCACAACAGGAGACTAGGGTCTCTGCAAGCTTATGTCAGCTGAGGGCCTTTTGGATTTTGTGCTTCTGTGGCTCAAGTTTCATGCTCTTGACAAGATTTGCAGAGAACAGATTTAATCTTCAACTTTGCGCTTCCAGTTTGGGAGCACTCCGCGCTTCTATTTTGGTACCGTGATTCGCTTCCATTTTTGAACCACTATACATCGCCTGAGTTAGTATCAGATTTGAAGCGTTCCGTAGGAAAGTCCCAAGCTACAGAGATCTAATGTTGTTTTCTTGTGGCCTAGGTGTGGCATTTTTCTTGAAATGGAAGGGCAATATCATTCCAGACCCCCCCTTGATATCTTTTCAACTTGCGGTGAGCGTCTCTTAAATGTTCTGGGGAGGTTTAGGTCTCTGAAACTTTATGTCAGTTAAGGGCCGTTTAGATTTTGTGTTCATATTCTATTTTTCTGTGGCTCAAGTTTGCATACTGTGGCAAGATTTGCCAAGAACCTATTTTATCTTCAACTCTGCGCTTCACGTTTGGGAGCACTGTGCGCGTCCGTTCTTTTACCACTATCCGGCTCCATTGTGGTACTGTTATGCATGCGCTTCCATTTTTGTACCATTATGCATTGGATGAGTTAGTCTCAAATTTGAAATGTTCCATAGGGGGGTCCCAAGCTACAGGGTCTAATGTTGTTTTTTGTGGCCTAGGGGTGGCAGTTTTCTTGAAATTGAAGAGCAATATCATTTCAGACCCTCCCCCTAGTATCTTTTCAACTTGCAGTGGGTGTCTCTGAAATTTTATGGGGGGATTGGGGTCTCTGAAACTTTTGTGTCAGTTGAGGGGTTCATATTCTATTTTTCTGTGGCTCAAGTTTGCGTATGGTTGACAAAGATTTGAAAAGAACACATTTGATCTTCAACTTTGCGTTTCCATTCTTTTACCACTATCCGGCTCTATTTTGGTACCGTTATGCGCTTCTATTTCTGTACCACCATGCATTGGCTGAGTTGGTCTCAAATTTGAAGTGTTCCATAGGGGGGTCCCAACCTACAGGGGTCTAATTTGGTTTTCTTGTGGCCTAGGTGTGGTTTTTTCTTGAAATTGAAGGGCAATATCATTCCAGACCCCCCCTGATATCTTTCAACTTGCGGTGAGTGTCTCGAAAATCTTAGGGGGAGACTAGGGTCTCTGCAAGTTTATGTCAGCTGAGGGCCTTTTGGATTTTGTGTTTCTGTGGCTCAAGTTTGCATGTTCTTGACAAGATTTGCAGAGAACGGATTTAATCTTCAACTTTGCGCTTCCAGTTTGGGAGCACTCCGCGCTTCCATTTTGATAACACATCATGCAAATGCCGGAGGAAGGTGCACCCCATCCAAACTCTGGTTGATAATTTTGCGCCAAATGAACCATCAACAGTCGCCGATACTAACAAACATACAAATTAAACCTACATCATCAGCAATTGCATTCAAATATAATCAAATATTTTATATCCAAAAGTGCAATGATTTGCATAGAAAGGCAAGGGCTAAAATGAGACAGGCGCAGGGGCCTAAAATGCCTCACTCTACCATGATAGACCCTTTGCCGGCTGGTCCCCAGGTCCAGCCAGTCCAGACCTTTAGTACCTGCATCAATTATTTATTTTGATCCTGAATCCTGCTGATTTTTTTTTCCCGCTCGTGCCTAACATGCCTTATGAAACCTTACAAAATTCAACATGTGTTGGCAAATTCTGGTGCTAATGCTGCTGCTGCCACTGCTGCTGCTCCTGCTTCTGCTTCTGCTGCTCCTGCTTCTGCTGCTCCTGCTTCTGCTGCTGCTGCTGCTGCTGCTGCTCAACCAGAGTCTGGATGGGGTGCGCCCCCCCTTAGTCTACAAACTGTTGGAACCAATTTCAACCGACGTTTGAGAATGTGCGGTGTCCAATAGTGCTCCCAAAACGGAAGCGCATAGTGGTATCAAAATGGAAACGCACAGTGCCCCCAAACTGGAAACGCAAAGTTGAAAATTAAATGTGTTCTTTTCAAAACTTGTCAAAAACATGCGCACTTAAGCCACAGCAAAATAGAACATGAACACAAAATCTAAACGGCCCTTGACCCTAATCTCCCCATAAGTTTTAAGAGACACTCACCGCAAGTTGAACAAATACCAGGGGAAGGGTCTGAATGATATTGCCCTTCAATTTCAAGAAAAAACCACCGCCTAGGCCACAAGAAAATCAAATTAAATTAAACCCCTATAGCTTGGGAACCCCTCATAAGACACTGCAAATTTCATACTTACTCAGCCAATGCATAGCGCTCCTAAATTTGAAGCGATTAGTGCTCCCAAAATAGAAGCGCAACGTTGAAGATTACATGTTCTTTGCAAATCTTGTCAAAAATATGAAAACTTAACCACAATGAAAATAGAATAATTACTTTACTTCGAGTTATCCCCACCATGACATCTATACGTACGTTTTCTTACTGGCAAATCTTCTGGCATTCTACCTGGCATACCTTCTGGCATTCTATCTGGCATATCTTCTGGCATTTTATCTGGCATATCTTCTGGCATTCTATCTGGCATATCTTCTGGCATTCTACCTGGCATATCTTCTGGCATATGTTCTGGCACATCTTCTGGCAGTCTATCTGGCATATCTTCTGGCATATCTTCTGGCATTCTATCTGGCATTCTATCTGGCAAATCTTCTGGCGTTCTATCTGGCAAACATTCTGGCACTTTATCTGGCATACCTTCTGGCATTCTATCTGACATTCTCTGTGGCATACCTTCTGGCATTCTATCTGGCATATCTTCTGGCATTCTATCTGGCAAACATTCTGGCAATCTATCTGGCCGTTGAGGTCCAGCGGTGCTCACTGAGCTCGGAGGGTCCCAGGTTGAGGTCCAGCGATGCTCACTGAGCTCGGACGGTCCCAGGTTGAGGTCCAGCGGTGCTCACTGAGCTCGGAAGGTCCCAGGTTGAGGTCCAGCGGTGCCCAGTGCGCTCAGACCCTTGCAGTTGAGGTCCAGAAGTGCCCACTGCGTGCAGAAGTTGACGAAGAGCTTGGCGAAGAGTTGGCAAGGCGGAAGTGAACATGGGAGTGGATGCAAAGGTGGTGGAGGAGAAGCTGGAGGAGAGGGAGGAGGAGGAGAAGGAGGTGGATGATGAGGAGGAGGAGGAGACGGAGGAGGAGAACAACTCTGATAAAATCTAACAACCCTCACCTGGCAGGTGGGGCAAAACACAAAAACTCAAAGGCCCACAACTGACACGAAAGTTTCAGAGACCCAAATCTCCTCATAAATGTGTGAGACGCTCGCCGCAAGTTAAAAAGACATCAGGGTCAGGGTCTGAAATGATATTGCCCTTTATTAAAAAAAAAAAACTTCCTATAGGCCACGAGAAAACCAAATTAGACCTCTGTAGTTTGGGAACCTCCTACTCACCCAGCCAATGTACAGCGGTACCGAATCCCAAAAACAAAAAACGATTATAACCCCTACGTCAAGTTACGTGAGATAGAGTGGTCCACTCACCATGAGCCAACACAAATCAAAAAAGTAATGAATAAACAAAAGTGCCTACTTTGAGATCACAATAGATCACACAGATCTTAATCACACCCAAACACGGTCAAAAACGTAGAAAACCAAGTAAAAAAACTGCAGATCAAGTTACGTGAGATAACGTAGGGTGGTCTAATATTATTTACCCGCCCGGTTTGACGTTATAGATTTAAGACCCCACACGTGAGAGGATTTTGGGGGGGGCTAGAGTAATGCTAGACCCCAAAATGGGGTCTAAGATCCGTTTGACCTATTGTTTTATTTTTTTGAAGTGAATTATAATAGACCCCTTTTTTGATCCTTTTTGGGGGAGTCTATTATGAAATCAAAATTCGTGATACTTACCTATACAGGGGGGTCTGGAATCATCAGTTGGAGGGGTCTTCTGTCATCGAAAATGATGTTAGACCCCTTCCTTCCGGAGAGCCCCTTGTACTCCATTTCAG